GAGCCTCACAAGCCGAAGAACACCATCCCAACCGTGAACCACGGGGGAGGCAGCATCATCTTGCGGGGGGGCTTTGCTGCAGGACGGACTGGGGCACCTCACTAGATAGATGGCACCATGAGGAAGGAAGATGATGTGGATATGTTGAAGCAACATCTCAAGACATCAGCCAGGAAGTTGAAGCTTGGTCCCAGTGGTTCTTCCAGCTGGACAGTGACCCCAGGCAGACTTCCAATGCTGCTGCAACATGGCTTCAGGACACAAAGTCCAGGCACTGGAGTGGCCACCACATCCAGTAGAAACTTTGTGGGCAGAACTGGAAAAGCATGTGCGAGCAGGGAGGCCTCCAAAGCTGACCCAGTTCCACCAGTTCTGCCAGGAGGAACAGGCTGAAACTCCAGCAACTGATTGTGAGAAGCCTGTGGGAGGTGTCTCGACATGTCTGACCCAGGTTAACCAGTTTCAAGGCAACGCCACCAAATGCTGACCGAGGGTATGTAAACATCTGACCCACTAGGAATGAGATGACAGAAATAAATCTTGTATCAAACGAGCAATCCATCGGAATTACAACTGCCACAACAGACCTTTCACATGCTGGAGGATATATTGGACCTGGAAGCATTCATAGACCAATACTACATTCACTGCAGTATGGATACCACCAATACAAACCAACAAGATACGCCAAAACCAAGCAAACGGAAAAAGACCTCCTCTACGGATACAAGCAATCTACAGACGACAGACATTGAGGCCAGTGTTCTTGCATCCATCAATAAGAAACTCGATTTACTGGTCACACTTCACAAGGAAATAAAAGAACTTCGGTCAAGCCTTGAATTCGCCCACAACTACATTGAAAGGTTAGAGCAGTCAAACAACTCTCTCCAAGCATCCGTCAAAACCCTCAGCGAAAAAATGGACTTCGTTACGGAAGAAAACAAAACAATGAAAGAAACGATACTGGACATTCAAACCAGAAACATGCGCGATAACCTGATTTTCACCGGCATTCCAGGACAATCACCCAACAACCCCAAAACACTGATTAAGGACTTTATGAAAAACCAACTAAAAATTCCACCGGATACTGTTAATAAGATCACCTTTCACCATGTACACCGCCTTGGTCCACGTTCCAACAAAACATCCCGGCCAACAATAGCAAAACTGGAACACTACAAGCACAAAGAACTGATTAAAAGTAAAGGAAAGGAACTGAGAGGCACAAACTTTGGACTGAATGATCAATTCCCACGTGAAATAAACGAACGACGGAAAATCCTCTACTCCATCATGAAACAACACAGGCGGAACAACAAACGGGCAAATATCACTGTGGACAAATTATACATTGAAGGACAGCTCTATCGCGACTCGAACATTACTCCGTGGCTTTTCTGATCTTCTACAGACTACCTACCAACCAGTGACTGCTACACTATATGTTAAATAATTCTCCCCCTTTTCATCACTCTGGTCTCTCACATCCACACACAGAGCAACCCCTATCCCACAGGGACTGCTACAACTATCTCTTCTTTGTTATTCTGTTTGTGTTTTTGTTTTAATCACACCATGTTGAAATGTATACTTGTCTACATTTTTTGTACTGCTATGCTCACACTAACACACACATATATACGTACATGCATCAACCCTAGATCCCGTTAAACAGCTTTTTTTGTTTGTTTTCTTTTTTTGTTGTTGTTTTTTGTGTCCATTTATTTATTTATTTCCCCCCCTTCTCCCTCCTTCCCACGTCTTCCCTCCTTTCATCTTACGAACAGATATCTATAACAAACAATCATTCAGTCACTTAAAATAGTGTCATGGAATGTGCGTAGATTCAGGACCCAGGTTAAGAGGATTAAAATCATTAACCATCTGATAAAATTAAATGCTGATATATGCTTTTTACAAGAAACCCACCTAACAAATCCAGAATCACAAAACCTTAAATGCAAACAATTTAACCAAATATTTTCATCAACATATAGGCAAAGAGGCGTCTCAATTTTAATTAATAAAAATATCACATTAATTCACATTTAATACATCTATCACTGATCCAGAAGGCAGATTTATAATTAAGGTATCCATTAACCAGACAACATATACACTTGCGAACATATACGACCCCAATAATGATGATTCATCCTTTTTTTCATATTTTTTTCTCATCTTTATGCAACTCATCAGGTTATGTTCCACAGGCTTTTAAAGTTGCTGTAATTAAACCTCTACTCAAAAAGCCTACTCTTGAGCCAGGTGTCCTTGCTTATTATAGGCCAATATCCAATCTCCCGTTTAATCTAGCCACAGGGGTTTCAAGCCAGTGACTTCTGTGCCCATCCCAAGCCCGGATAAATAGAGAGCATTGTGGGCATCTGACGTAAAACGTGCCAAATTCAACATGCGAATCATCAGTGTGAATTTCATACTGGATTAGTTGAGGCCAGGGCTAACAACAATTGCCAGTGGTGCTGTTGACCTACAGGGTGCTTGCAGAAATTGGACTACTGTTAGTAGAATAATCTCACCCTCATTATTATGGGAAACAGGCAAAGCAGTAATTAGAGGGAAAATAATATCATACTCGTCGTACAAAAACAAAAAAACAACAAGAACTGGAAAGCACCTTAGAACAAAAGACAAAAAACAACTCACAGATTTACATTCCCAAAACCCTAGCGAACAAACACAAAATGAATTAAGCTAACGAAAAATGCAACTTGAAAATTATATTAAAAAAGCACCGTTTTTCATTCAACAACTCAAATATGAACACTTTCAGTATAGCAACAAAACAGGTAATTATCTGGCTAATCAATTACAATGCAAAAAGGAAAAAGCATCAATCCCATCCATACTCAATCCTAGAGGTGAAATTGTTCATAATCCACAAGATATCAATAATGTATTCCAAACCTTTTACAGTAAACTTTACTACCCCAATTACAACCCAACTTCATCAGAAATAGACACTTTCTTAGATAGTTTAGAACTGCCAACATTACCCAGAGAACAAGCTGACAAATTAGATGCTCCTCTCACTATCGACGAACTCGATAAAGCACTGAGTTCAATGCCAAATAACAAAGCACCCGGACCTGATGGACTACCAGCTGAATTTTATAAACATTTTTGGCAAATGCTATCACCACTGTTTCTCAACCACTTTCATATGTGGTCCTAAATCAGATACATATCCGATGTTTTGCAATGCGACTTCAGTCTGAACGGCCATGTTGCATTTCATGCGATTTTTATGTCATTGAAATGCGACAGACATCACAATTCTGCGCTGGAGGAGGCGAGGCCATAAGCAATATTTGTGCTCTTCTCCTTCTCCTCCTTGTTCTTAGCATCCGCATGCAGTTTATTTTTATTCTAGCTCCCGACAGAGGCTTTATATGGTAATGTTCAGACATTCACAACATTCACTGGCAAGATTTCTCCTTGGGGAAGCTTACAGTAACCATCACTACTAGATTTAATAACTTTAGGTATTATACACAAGGCAGCATGCTGGAGGCTCTAACTGTAGGCTTTATCTCCAGCATGTGCCCAGTGTGAATATGAACCACATACTATGCTTAAGACCTGCAGTGTGAACGTAGCCTTCATTCTTAATTCAGTCTAGCATTAAAACTAATCTATTACTTTGTTAACAATTTTACTCAACAGTCTCTACTGCTGATACGATGCTGCTGAGTATGGTGAGGGGGCTCCTGGCCTGCCTAGTACAGGTTCCTGTCCTCACTTCTGTAGGCCTCCTCTTTGGCACAACAGAGCTGCTTGAGCTTTGCTTTGCTGTGAACTAGGGCTTGTTGTTATTGTATGTGCAGAAGGTCTTAGTGGGCACATACATGTATCACTTATTAATTCAGACTTAAAAATCATTACCAAAGCCCTAGCTACTAGAATAGAGACAGTCACCCCAATACTAATCCACCCAGACCAAACAGGTTTCATTAAAAACAGGAATGTCTCAGACAACATCCGTAGATTTAATTATTCTTGCACAACAAAAACAAACCAAAACCATAGTTTTATCACTAGATGCAGAGAAAGCATTTAACAAAGTTAACTGGACATTCCTCTTTTGTGCATTACACAGATTTGGGTTTGGAGAGTCATTTATCCATTGGATAAGAACACTGTACACATCACCTAGGGCGACAATAAGTACAAACGGGATCGGGTCGCAAAGTTTCATTTTACAGCAGGGTACCAGACAAGGATGCCCACTCTCACCATCTCTATTCACCATTTTCATCGAACCTCTCGCATCAGCTCTATGACACAACAATATAATTAAAGGAATACAAGATACTTACTCAGAACACAAAATTAATCTTTACGCAGATGATTTATTATTATATTTACAGGATCCCTATAATTCTCTACAGGAAACTACATATTATTAACACATTTTCTAAGATCTCAAACTACACAATAAACTGGAATAAATCCACCATACTACCACTCTCTGAGGATGCCTGGGATTCTGCAGCTCAAGACTCCTCCCTCAAATTCTGCACAGGCAACATTAAATATCTTGGTATTAATATCTCTCCCAGGCTGTCAGAACTTTTTAATCTCAACTACACCCTCCTGCTAAAAAAAAGATAGAAGATGATTTTAAACGTTGGTCCAATCTTTCTCTCTCACTCATTGGTCAAATAGCTACTGTCAAAATGAAAACGCTACCTCAAATTTACAAAGCTTCCCACAACACCCACAGATAAATGGTTTAACTCACTTGATTCTTTAACTTCACAATTTTATTGGAAAAACAAGAAACCCAAAATTTCTCTATCTATACTCCAAAAGAAGAAATCGCTAGGTGGTCTAGAAGCACCAAATTTCCAATATTACTACTTAGCAAATCAGCTACAGTATTTAGTCAAATGGATTCAGAAGGACAGTTACAACAGCGCATGGATAGAATTAGAGCAAAATTACTGTAAAAATAACTTAGATAACTTGGTTGCAGACCTCGCTTTTCTACCAAACTCTACTCAGAAAATGAATCACTGTAAGAACATCACAATCCTCTCAACTCTGACAGCCTGGTGGAAAGTAAACAAAATCACTAAAATCATCACTTGCACCATGTAGATACACTCCAATTTGGCACAACCCTGATTCCCAACTGCATAATAACCTTATCTATTTCCCAACATGGCAACACAAAGGAATCACTCAGTTACATCACCTATTTGAAAACAACCAGTTCATAGAAAACTGAAAAAACCTTAGAAAAAATCAACTGGACTTAGATTTCTAGATCGAAGACATTTCACCTCTCATTCAAGAGGCTTCATCAGTTCTGACTTTCAGCACCAGTCAGTCTCTTGGATGACAGGTGAAACGTCTTTGATCTAGAAATCTAAGTCCAGTTGATTTTTTCTAAGTTTTTTTTCAGTTTACTATGACCTGGATGACTGAGAATCTGCACAGACATGTAACCAGTTCATATCATTTAATACACTGATCCAGAAGTACGGAGTTCAGCTAGAGAACAGTTCCTCCAGTACAATCAGCTAAAATCCATAATTAAATCAAAGATTAGTGTAACCAATAACCCACAACCTTCCCAATTAATTGAAGAAATTGTGAAAATTACATCCTCCAAGAAAATAATATCCAAGCTATATAAACTCATATCAAATACAGACTCAACAATAACAATACCAAAACTCAAATGGGAAAATGATTTAACTCTCTCCCTCAGCTCTGACTTCTGGACAGAAATTTGTAATAACATCTTTTCTATAACCATCAATGTAAATTTACAACTTATACAATACAAGACCATTTATAGTACCCATATTAGAGAAAGTAAAATGTTCAAAATGGGTTTTACCGACACAGACATCTGCTCACAATGCACTCTAGGTTGCACCGACAGTTACTTTCATGCTACTTGGACCTGCCAACCAGTTTATTCCCTCTGGATAGCAGTGACAGAGAAACTCTCCACCATCTTGGGCTGTAGAATCCCTCCTTCTCCATCACTTTGCTTACTTGGTAATATCCTAGAAATCGACCACCTACCAATTAAATATAAAAACCCACTCCTCATTTCTCTAGCTATTGCCAAGAAAACAATATTTCCAAATTTGAAATAAAAAAAATCACTACACATAAACCACTGGACCAACCTTCTGATAGAATACATCACATTAGAGAAAATGACATCAACTCAAGAATAGTTGATTTGCTTTTTATGACACATGGAACCATTTTTAACACATTTCAACTTGAATCAAATACCTGGGGCTGAGGCCATGCACATTCCCACCAACCTCTAAAATGTAACAAGCTGATTTTTTTTATAGTACTGTTATCATCATTATTGTTGTTTTTTTTTATTTACTTCCCCTCCTTTTCCCTTTCTTGCATTTCATAGACTGCATAAGTTGGAAATACCCACACTTCACACACTACAACCTCGTTAAACACTCTATATCCTTCTGTAATGTCATGTAACTGTTGTCTTGTCTCCCATGTTTGGTACTGTTTTGTTAATGTGTTACTTTGTTTCAATAAAAATAAAAAATCTTGTTCTCTACTGTTACTCTGACACTTCTTTAGATGAAGCAGAGACACTAACTGACCTGAGACAGGGAGGCTTTATAGGATTAAATGTCAGAAGTTGTGAAAAACCAAGTTTAAATGTTAAATGGCTGATGTGTATATAAACTTCTCACTTCAACTGTCCATGTAGGAGAGGTTAACTCAAATGGCTGGTGCAGCCCACACCACAAGACTAATGCAGTGGAAACCTTTTTATCCAGCAGCATCAAATGAAGTTTTATGAGACACAACAGATGCCAAGACAATAAAAGGTAAATATTACCTTTTCCTGCATGCTGTTTTTTGGATGCAGTGGCAGCTGAGTCTTCAGAGGCAGCGAGACGACGAAGGATGTCAGCAAGGGCAGCTTTCATTACCATCAGTTCATCTTCCTGCTGCTGAACACGAAGCTCCAGGGCAGAAAGGCGATCGTTCACGTCTGAGACACTTGCTCCGGACATGCTGTCATCTGCAGTTCAAAGGTCAATCTGTTATCAATAAATAAACCATAATATTTGCACTGCTGGGCTGATGATTCGACATCCTGATCATTAATCATCACTGGACAGATGATAACTTGAGTCTTACAAAAATCAGTAATCCATCTCTTTAGTTTTAGTCATAGTAATTTCGAGAAAGGATGATTAGCACCATTCTGTGAACTCCATCACAACAGGTCCATGGTCAGAGTCACCGGTATTAAGAAGAGACACTGCGGCAGAGGCATCTTCAAACTAGATAATATGACAGTTCCCTAACTGAATCTGGCATAAATTAGTGTACAAGGAAAATAAAAGCAAAGTATGCAACCCCGAGGTGACCTGGAAGATAGTCTTAGAGCAGTCGTCTCCCAACCTAGGTACTTGTTGTATTAGAAATGTTTTTAGTGTAGACAGGATGTCTAGCTCAGGTTGTTAAATGCTTACTCATTTTCATGAGTTACTCCAGGTTGTTTATGTTCAAAGATAACTAGATAGAAAGTTGATTACTGGGTGACGTGTTTAATCATAATCGTAATCATAATATCTTCTTATGCTTAGTGTCAGGACATGTCACTGGATGTCCTGTCAGAATGTCTTAGATACACACCACACAATCAACAGACAATCACACATTAATTTTCTTCATGTTTTGACTACCGCTCTGGTCGGCTGCAAAGCTGGCACCAGGAGACATCACGGTTTGACGTTCCTGTGTAGAATGGGATTAGTCCTACAAGTTCCTGGGCTCCACTATCTCCCAGGACCTGAAGTGGACGTCCAACATCAGGACCATCATCAAGAAGACACTCCAGCTCAGGAAGTTCGACCTGCCCCAGGAGCTGCTGATACAGTTCTACAGAGGAATCATCGAGTCTGTTCTCTGCACCTCCATCACTGTCTGGTTTGGCTCAGCAACCAACAGGATAGACTTCAGCAGACAGTCAGGACTGTAGAAAAGGTCATTGGTGTGAGCCTGCCCTCCATGGAGGACCTGTACACCTCACAGGTCAAAAGGAGGGCGGAGAGGATCACTGCAGACCCCTCACACACCAGATACAATCTGTTTGAACTCCTCCCCTCTGGACGGCGTTACAGGTCACTGTGCACCAAGACAACCAGGCACAGGGACAGTTTCTTCCCCCAGGCTGTCGCTCTGATGAACACTTAACCCACGACAGTATGACTGGACAATAACCCTCAGTGAAATACCTGTAAATATACCTCGTACAGATTATACAGATCCGTACAGGTCTCTAGTTTTAAGTTCTCTGTTTTTATCCCTAATTATCTCATTTCAATGAACATTCCCTTGTTGTCTGCATTGTTTACTGTCTGTTTATACTGCTTTTTCTGCATCGTTTGCACTGTTTGTTGGTTAATAATAATCTTTAATACTGCTACTTTGTTATATTACACAGCGTTATGCTCGTTTACTGTTTGCACATTGAGAGCCGATGTACCAGAGTCAAATTCCTTGTGTGTCCATCACACCTGACCAGTAAAGCTGATTCTGATCCGATGCCAGACATGTGGAGGCAAAGTTATCTCCACATTACATCTCTTTTACCTTCAGATCAAGTAAAAACAGGTCTGACAAAGTAAAATTCGACTCAGCATGTCTGAACAGCTGCAGCACATGAAACAACTGATGAGAAGGAGAGTCAGTTACTGGCTACAATATTTGTGCCATCACCAACTGACCTATACCAAGTTCAGACTACATACTGAACTAACTGGAATTTAATGCTTTCCCTTTCAGCACCTCAAACCTGGTGTGTCCACAGCAGTGTGGACAGACCAGATGTCAGCCACCTGCCTATGTGCTCCTAGACCCGATTCCTCTCTGACCTCTGACCGTGCAGCGCCATCAGAACGGTCAGATCAGAATCCATGTGGTTGTTTTAACGTCTCCTCCTCTGCACATACTGCCTGTCGTCATCATTCGGTGTCGGTCCTTCACACACCGGTAACAATAAACATGGAGGAGAGCGACGACGGGGTCAGTGGAGACACCAGGACGTTTATGGAGAAGCTTCTGATCAGGCCAAACTGGGAGGAACATATCGTAACCCAGCAGTCTGGGAGGGAACTGGGCCGTCTGACCGTCACACATATGACCTGGTTGTTATTTGTGTGTGCATGTGGCTCACATTTCAGTTACATCTGTGCATGTGTGGTAGTTTAGGAGCTCAGCGGTGTTCACATCGAAGCCAGGTACATGGCCCTGACACACACGGACGGGAAGCAGCAACACATAAAGTTTGGAATTGAGCATTAAGGCCTAGGATAAGAATGCAGCGTTAACAGGTCAATATACCCTGTTAATGATCAGTTTTCACCACTCCAAAGTTTAACGGTACCCTATTAATCTGATCCTAGTTCAGACCAGATTCGTCCACAGCAACAGGTGACGAGTTAAAGTTTCTCTGTGATTAATGTAATTTGAGTCAGGACTCCCATCCCTGGAAAAACCTGGAGGCTCCTGGAAAGTACACACTTGTAAGTATATGTGTGTTTGTCAGTGTTCAACCTTCTTGTGCATTTCAGTCTGCATTTTTATTGACAGTCTGAAAGCACATTTATTATTATTCAGTTTACTTTGTTTGTGTTCTTCAGATACTTTTGCAGCATTTACTGGACTGTGCACACGTAGCTTAAAAAAACTGGGACATCAAAACCAGTTTTCACCATGAAGGAGAACTGGTTTTACAGAGGTGTTCTACTGCCACCATGAGAAAAGAACTGCTCAATATCTTGTTATAATGAAATACTTTTCTCGTTTTTACAAGATACTTTCACATTAAAAGTATTTTTCGCGTTCTTATGACAGTATATTTTCTCATTTAAACAAAGTACTATATTTTCTTGTTATAAGGACATATTGTGGTAACTTCAATTAAAAAGTAAAATATAAACTAGTTCAAAATTTATGGTCCAAAGAATCAACCATAAATGAAGATTAAAAAAAAAAAAAGATAATGCTGCAGTCCTTTTATGAGATAAAACTATTTATAACTGCAGCAGCTAGAGCTTGTAAACAGGTCACACTCACAGTAGAACATCAGTGTTTTAGTAAACCTCAGCAGGTTTAAATGTCTCTGTTTGGCAGTCGGGTTCTCAGCAGGATGTAAAGTCAGCTGAAGCGGGTATCCCCCAATTCAAAATAAAATGCTGCAACACAGCAGCCCTAAAAGTAGACCAGTACACAGTTATACTAACAAGATTTGTAGATACCTTGATATTCCCATGACATTAGAGACATTTTTCTATTGTGAAATTACAAATGTCATTATATCCCTAGTAAATATTGTGCAAGGCTTTATGTGTCAGATCAGTGACACCAAAGCATTATGTGGAAAGCTGGTAAGGGAGGGCATTGCTGAGATGAATGTACTTAGGAGGAGCACTCCAGCCAGTGCTGTGCACGATGCTTAAGGCTGGATTATGGACTGGGCCAGTGGGGCCATTGCCCCAGGGCCGCAGAAAGACGGAGCACACTCCTTTTGAGGCTCCTGAAGGTCAGAGACATCTTTCATTCTAAAGTGAAGTGAAGTAGTGAAGTACAGTTAACTGCTTCACTACAAGAAGGAATTCAAACAGAAAAAGCTGATTATCACAGGCTCCAAATTCTTGATGACAAGTGTTTAACAAGTGAATGAATATTAACACACTAGGGTTTGAGGGATAGCGCCTCAGAAAACATGGTCAGGAGGACCACAAGGGACAGCGTCATTTTCTGTGCTGTAGTGTGCTGGGGAGGCAGCATTAATAAGAGAGAAGCCTCGTGACTGGACAAGCTGGTGAGGAAAGCTGGCTCTGTAGTGGGTACGGAGCTGGACTCCCTCACATCCAAAGTGGAGAAGAGGACCCTCAGGAGCCGCTGTCCATCCCAGACAGTGTTCATCACCCTCTGCACAGCGCCATCACCAGGCAGAGGAACTTGGAGAAACTCTTCCAGCAGGAGTCTTAGTGGTCTGCTGCCTCTCTCCTGCTCCATGGACAGACCGAAGTTGTTTGTCCCTCGGCCCGTATGACTCCTCAGCGTCTCCCAGTGAGGAGGCCTGGTCCGATTTTTGGACATGTGATGTCACTACTCGGGTGTCTACTACTGGCAGTGTAGACATTTGCTTATATATATATATAAACTTGATATGTTACTTGATATACATTTTTTTCTATACTCATTTTTTTAAATACTTTTTTTTGTAGTTTAGTCTTACATTTTTACGCATTTCTTATTTTAGGTGCTGTGATTTGGGCAATTATTGCTGTGGCTACTGGATGCCAGAATTTCCCTTGGTATCAGTAAAGCATCCAACCATCTACAATCCTGTGGATGTTAAAAATTTCAGGAGTGAGTATCTGTGTTCAACAGCACCACCATGTGGTCAGTTATACAGTTCAGAGACAACAGACTGCAGAACCTGAGACCTGAAGTTTAACAGAGTCGTGGAGAACAAATGTGACCCTGACTCTCCACTAAACCGCACGTGCATGGAATCATGGAGCATGGTCTGAACCTGGTACCAGATCCATCACATCAGTCACAACTGAAACATTAGAGAAAGCACTTTCTCAGATTCAGATTTTAAGCATCTGAAAAATTGTCAGAAAAATGTTGAAAGAACACTGCTTAAAAAAGCACAACTAAAATATAAATATTAAGATAATTATACAAATGTACAAATTAAAGGTTTGATAAATCTGTTTATAAAGAAATGTTTAATGGTGCTGGATCAACACCGACCAAATTACACAAAAAACAGGTTTAAACTTTTAGTTTAAAGGGTCAAAATACCACCTCTTCAAAAGAGAAAACTTCAGAGCTGCTTAAAATGCTATTCGTTAAAGTGTTTAAAAGACCAGCTGCTGAAAATAACATTAAATACAGATAATTTATTTAAAAAGTTTTTTTTTGGGAGGGGGGGGTGAATGTCTCAATCTGCACTTTAAATTCAAAGAGACATGTGAGAGGTTTTATTTTTTACATGGGCTGCTGCTTTCTTCAGTTTCACTGACATCTGTTTATACACTGCAGCCACGGCTCAGACTACTTCCTGACAACACATACACATTGTACTGCTATCTTTGTGAGGACCCTCGTTGTCATAATGCAACCCCTAAGGCCTGTACCCCAACCTAAACCCGATTCTACCCTGAACGTTAAAGCCACTTCTGAACTCTGTTATCTGAAGGTGTGAGGTGTGGACAACACGTCTCACGGTGCAGGCCTACAGGTACAGCTAACCACAGACTAGGTGAATAAACTACTTCCTGACTGTCTTCTGCAGACCAGTCCACAAGCCGTGGTTCGGGGACCTGCAGTCTCAAACATTAAAAATGGGTTCTGGGCGTTAAACACGTCCCCTTGACTTCCTGCTAGTCTCTAACAGACCCATGACTTTGCCTGGGGTCCAGATCTCTGCGGTCTGCTTTACGAGGAGTAGTTGGTTTTGTGACTTAGCAGCCGCCGGAGGGGCGGTGCAGAGTTTTTCAGATTAATACAGCAGTGACACGTGTAAATCCGCCACAGGCGCGTGCGACTCTCACAGTCTCGCCGCTGCACGGACAGGTGACCCGGTGGTGTTAAGGGCGCGAGCGGCGGGCGGCACTCACCTAGACTGCCTGTGAATCCGTCCATTTTCCCGGAGAGAAGCGGGAGTCCGGGCCGG